GCAAAAAGACGCTTTTCTTGAAACTTTTCATTTGATATGAGATTAAAATTCCCTTCCGAAAGAATTACTCTTTTCATAAAATACTAGTTTGTCCCACATCATAACCACATTCACTAATAACACTACATACTTTATCTTGAAGACATCCAAAATTGAAGCACGCAAAAAAGATCATTTAATTTAAAATTCGAAATAAACACACAGCCCAAAATATTCAACAGTCTACAGATATATCCAAAATAATATCCAAATTGCAATCAAACACTCTTTTTTTTTAAGACACCCACATGCTTAAAATACTTATAAAACACACATAAATTATCATCTTTCAATTCTTATAAAACATTATCAAAATATCCTGGTAAAAATTACTCACAGAAGTTCACAAAATATTTGATATTCAAATACAAATTATCTCATAAACACACACAAATACAGCAGTCCACATCCATAAATCAAAAGAATTATCCAACAATCACCCAACTTCAAATATTATATCTTATAAGAATAATAAAAAACTCACTGAAGTTCACAAAAATATAATTAGGAACACACTTTGTACATGATATTAAAAATAGTATTCACATACGAATTATCTCACAAAAACACACACAAATACAGCGGGTTCACATCCATAAATCAAAAGATTTTCCAACAATAACACACAATTCAAAATTCAAAACACACTTTTTAAAAACATATCCCAAACGTATTTATATCCTCATAAGGAGTTTACTCACAAAAACACACACATGGATAAAAAGAGAATTCAGTAGTTCAACTCAATATCCATATAAAATCTGATAATTTTGTTACATGACACTAAATCTCAATAGTTTGACTTCAGTTACATCTTAACGTGAAGGTATGTTTGAATAAGTAAGAAGTTGTGGTCTGAGTCCACCCAGCCAACACTATAATATATCTACCTGTATATAATATTATATACCGTTCTGCTCCACTGCTTTACACTTAGTTTTTTAATAGATCTTAACATCTCAATGAATGAATGAACTTATCAAAAGACTGAATGAAAAACATGAATGAATGATTGAAAATAATGAATGAATGAATAATTGAAAATAATGAATGAAGAAAAATCTGAATGCATAATGCAAATTTTAAACTAACAAATGAATGAATGAATTAGTGCATGTAAAAATAAGAATAATGCAAATTTTGAACGAACGAATGAATGGATGAATAAAATTCACATATATATGCCATCAAAAACATTGAAATCTTGATAGTAGTAATGATAGGCACTACTGAAGGTTACATCGATGCCAGTCTCTCTAGTAATTAACCATTTAATTTAATAGCTGACTGGGCCAATGAAGGGAATATTGATAAATGTCGGAGCGTTATTCTTTAAGGATATGGGTGGTCTGCAGGTATGAGTAAGCGTTGTATGATAGTTTAACTTTCGTTAAATGGATTAGTAGTAATGACCTCTCAAAATTGCCAGAATGCACTTTTGGAGAGTCTACATAGTACATTTTCCACTATTTACAGAGTAAAAATTCAAATAAAACATTTGGACTAAAGGGTAGCAAAAGAACAAAAAAAAAACGAAACACCTATATTTTACAAGGATAACAACTTCGGTTCACAGTTAAGGATCCTTTCTACCAGCTGGTTCTTGGCCAAACCACTTGGCATTGATCTTTCCCGGATTATCCATACCCATTTACAGCTGGGTCAACTGGATTTATGAGCGAAGGTGACTTATTCAAGGTCATCAGACTTAAACATGCCATCGAGAATTGAACCAACAACCACCATTTGCTCAATGTAACCAAGGAAATGACATCATGTAAGGAACGAACACTCTAACCGACTGCGCTTTAGAAACTCACAGTAAAGGGTGGGGTCATCCTTGATAGATAAACTTAATTTGCCAATAGTTTATGTCTTGAAAAAGGTCAAAAATAGTCAAAATTTTCATACTTTTACATAATTCAAAATATACCAAGTAGCTCAGTCGGTAGAGGTGCTGTGGGTTCGAACCCTCTTCAAGGTAAGAAAATGCTGATTCCCATGCCTGTGCTTCCGAGAGGCTTTCACTCTTTAATACCAAGTATATCAAAAGATACTCCCAACTTTAACTATCAGTAATCAGATTAGTGTTTGAACCTGTTAATCTACAGCGAGATTAGTGTTTATGTGTTTAGGTTAAAATAATTTCAAGTAGATTGCCATGGATTAATCTCTATATTTAATCTTTCTACAGTAAATTGATCCAGGAGTAAAATTGTAATTATAATAAGTTACTTTATCAAATAAGTGTCACAAATCATTAAAATATAAATGTATATAGAAAAATTTAAAACATGGAGATTTCAAGCCAGGAGAGGCTTATGAGACACGAAACAGTAAAAAAAATATTTGACAGTCTTATAAGACCACCAAAGACTTAATAATTTGTTAGTTTATTTTCATTTACCACAAATACCAGACTTGGCACTTTTCCTCTAAAATACCAAAATATTATTCAGAACTGAATTAATAGATAAACTTACAATGTGTCATATCATATTCATATGTCAATAGTTCAAAAAAACATTTTGTCAAATTCAGTATGGGTCATTTGTCGTTATGGCCCTTCTCATTGGAGGCTGCATCACCGAATCATCATCGTATATTACAGAGATCAATATCTCCAGGCTATGAGACAATATTTTAAAGTGTTTAACTTATCACTGATATTCACAGTCCAGCGTCACTACAAGGGAAGTAACCCTGAGGCAATTGATATATGATAATATTAATAGGGTCAATATTGGACCAGATCTAACCAGGATATGAGTACTCTTATACACAGGAATCAACAACTAATAATAACAACAACTCATAATATCAACAACTTATAATATCAACAAGTTATAATGTCAACAACTTATCATATCAACAAGTTATAATGTCAACAAATTATTACATCAACAAATATACTATATACTAAACAAAAACAATAAGAAACTTATACACAAGCACTTCAGTAGAATACTACAGAGAAAATATCATTAAAGTCTTCAAAAATTCTGCCCTAGGGCAAATAAGACATATCTTTTAAACTTTCCAGTAAAATGTGATTTGTGATTCATTCCCTGGAAAGTTCTCATTTATAAACTTGTTCTAAGCAATGCTCCATGTGAAAATATTACTCTTATCTCCCCTTTTTCTCATTCATTTTACAATATAAATGACTGGCATATTCAGTCAAATCAACATCCCTCAGAAATAGCCATACTGAATGTTTTATGTCTGCCATAATAAAATAATAATTTCATCCCTATCACAAAAGATGTAGGACATTTAACACCATATTTTAACATTTTTTAAATTCCAGTGAATAGTATCAGTGTGTAATAATAAAGTAAGAAATAAGACTATGTGTTAAAATGTTAAAGGGATTATAAAGAGGTTTTCTAAAATTTTTATGTGTATCGGGAACACTGATAGCATCAATTTGCACCATTCAAATTTTTGCGTCTGTTGTTCCTGCAATTCCACTAAAACTAAGTCTTTTATAAAGTCACCCCCTGCAAAATTTGATTGCATCACATAAGACCTATGTGTTAAAAGAATATTACCTCTTAGAATGGACCTTAAATTTAAACTCTCAAACTTGATCAATAAGAGTATATATTCATCAGTTGGACTAACCAGGTGCCATGAATAAAGAATAGAATCAATATCTAACACAATATATCCATTAAACTAAGAAATCACTGAAAAATGTTTTTAATTGCGATTCAAATATCTTAATTTGAAGAATTATTTCTTAGTTTTATAGATTTAAGTGATTATACAGGATTCGATTGTATAGTTATGACACCAGGTAAGTTCACTGTTATACAACAAAGACTCATTTTGCCCAAGGTTAAAAAACTTAATTTTCTGGTCATCCTAAAAGATAGTTTACCTTTAAAATGTTATATGGGCTGTGTCTAATAGTTAATGACAGTGAAACTTGAGATTTATCAAGTCGGAATATCTCTACCCCTCACAGTTTTATTTTAATGTTGATATATATCATAGATATCTATATTCATTGTATATGTTGAGCGTCAATGACAGGGTATGCTTACTCTTCTAGACACCCAGGGACTATTAACTAAATTTCAACCAAAATTTTAAGAAATTAAGTCATCTGATTGGCTTATAAAGCTGAACTTATAATTGTTTTTAGCTATTGGCCAATCAGATTATTAGAATACTAAAATCACTCTAAGTTTTTGTGAAACAGGACCCTGATACCACTTTCATTAAGAAATGCTAGCTCACTTATAATTGATATATTTCCTCATATGAAACGTTCACTAGCTGCTAATATTGTTTCGCCAATGTTGTTTTGGGGTTTTGGGTTTTGTTTTGCGGTTCAGATCGTTAGCACTTGGTTTATTTATAGATATATTATCAACCCTGTCTCACGGTTGGTCTGCACATTATCTGTCATTTTGATCCCATTTATATCTCCATTAATAAACTACCGGTACTGGATTAACATGGAATTGAATATGTTCTTTGCCCTTTTCTTTTGGTCAGTCTGTCAGTCCCTTTGTTTATATTGGAAATATAATGGATGCTTCAGTTTTGATCTGATTTTGAGAAAACTCCATATATTTATAGGTTAGATATGAGATGAGTTTGAATTTCATATTTAGCAAAGTTATTGCCCTTTAGATATATGTATGCACATGTCTCAGTTACACAGTTTTTATTTGATGTTGGTGTGATTATAAGGTGATTTGTAGAAGATTCTTATTAAACACTGTTTTACACTTGAAGCACAAAACAATGTTTTAAGTGTTTTTTTCTGAATTTGGATATCATTCCATTTTGCGAGCGCGCAACTGGTGATTTTTGTGATATAAAAAAAATATGATCGATACAAATTGGCTGTTTAAATGCCATAAGCACATTTTCTATATCAATATTTAAAATTGGTTTCAAATTTTTGAGAAAAAATGTCTGATGAAACATAAAAGCCAACTCACCCAAGTTGCTGTAATAAAGTCTCGCCTTCACCAACTGTGTGCATTGCTGCTTCAATAGTTGTCTCCCTTTGTTGGTTAAACTGAGCTAGGAGTTGTTCTGCTCCCTCCACACTATCAGCTATTTCCGAACTCTGTAATTCTTGTTGTAGCTCTTCTAACCAGGAGGTTAGCTGTAATATCAAACAGGAGTGATTTATTAAAAAACGGAATCAAAATTGAGTTAAATATAAACTTTTGAAAAGTGCATTTTAAACCTTCCGCTAAACTGTCAACGAAAACCTAATGTTAAATCTATACAACAAATGTGTTTCAGTAAGAATATTTATTATAATATTGAGTCAGTGAGATATGCTAGTGGAAAATATCTAAATAAACCCACTTCACGAACAATCACACAGACATTGGCGCCATCAATTAACAAATAAAAATGGAATTTTGCATCCCATATTTTTGCTGATTTAGAACAGAGTAAACACCAATATATCAATAAACATGGATTAAGTCAAAGATTAAAAATTTAAATTTGCATCAGTCTCAGAAGTTCTTAAAAAAAGCTAGTTTAATATAAATCCAGTGTCTGAATAATGGATTTTATATTGAATCTCAGGTTCCAGAAGTAAACAATATCTTCTAAGAATTAAAAGCCAAAAAGGTACAACTTAATGGATTAAAGATGTTTACGATACAAAATAAGTGGTTGCCTAGCAAGATACGCCCACTTCCCAGATACATTTGCAGTATATCAAGGACAGTCACCAACCTGTGTCAAATCATACCAAAAATCTAATTTGTGCAAGATATTATTGATTTAAACAAACATTATTTATAAAATTCTGACATAAATATGCATTTGCTTCAGAATGTCCCTAGAGACATGTAAGCTCCAATATTCTGAATCATTTTTTTAATTTTTTATAATGTGGGCGTATAAAATGTAAAAAACAATGACCATTCCTACCTCATGTACATGAGTATAAAATGCTACAGTCATATCAATAATAGCTCTTCTACGTTCCAACTGAGTCAGAAAATTATGCATTCGTTCTTCAAGTTCATGGGCTTCTCCGTATATTTCTTTAGGATCACATTCTCCAGTCTGAGCTAGTTCATCTGCTGCTGCCAGTAATTTTTCAGCGTTCGTTATAGTGTTCTGAAAACAAATGAATTTGATGTTATTTGTTACTTTGTGAACATTTCAAAGGACAGGTTCACCATCAGTTTGACAAATCATACCTTAGTCTCAGAAACGGGAATATATTAGCTATGCTAATCAGTAATAATGTTCACTGCTCACCGTCAAAATTTGAGTCTTCAAATTTATGTGTCTCCAGAAATATCTGCGTTAATAGTTAATTAATTCATTTCTTTATAGTTTACCCATTCAATAAATTGAAATGGACCGGAAGATTCTACCGTCTATTTCAAGTTAAATCGAAAAAAAAGTAATTAGAGAATGTGGCTTTCGTGGCCTTTTCAAAGACTGAGTAAGGAAAGAGTAAAGTGGCCCTCACACCATATTACCAGTTGCATATGGTAGTGAATAAGAACAGTGGTTATAAGTTCCGAACGCAACTCTCATGCAATTGAGTTGTGAGTTGAGTTCAGAACTCGTGGCCACTTTCATTATTTGCAATCATATGCAACTGGTAATCGCTATGGTGTGAGGGCCCCTTAAGCAAAGATCAGATTAAAGTCTACTGTATCATGTGAAATAGCTCAAATGGTCCAGTCCATAATTCTCCTGATTAAAGTCCAATGAAAGTAAAGTCTAAGACTTCTAGTGTACACAGTTAAGTTGTCACATACAATATTTCAAAATAGACAATATAAATATTTGACCTATGACCTATGTTAATTAATTATGAATATTAAGTAGAAGAGGAAATAGTTCGGTTGAAATGCCCTGACTTTCTTTAGATTACTGATAAATTTCACAGTGTCAATATCATAGACATTGTATTTCTACAATAACCAATCAGTGAGCACTAATAGCATACATAGTAAACAGTGATCTGAAGGTTTTTAATATTTGGGGTCGCGAGGCAGTTTTCTTGGGGTCGTGAACTAGTCTGAAAACTATTTGAAAATTGTTATGGTATGTTAAAAGATTGTATATGGTATTTTTCTTGAGCATAATTTAAGCTGTAGTCTAGCAGGTGACAATTCAGATGGTTATTTCTTGAGCTATCTTACAGCACTTTGTGATTTTAAAACTATGGCTTCCAAACATAAAACAGAACACAATTTTATGGTATACTACTCCTGAGTTTTATAGTACACAATGTTTCTACAATTTACATTACAATAAAACTCAGGAGTAGTATACCATATAAACTGATGATGACAATGTAAATTGTTGAAACATTGTATACAATAGAACTAAGGAGTAGTATACTATATAAACTGATGATGATAATGTAAATTGTTGAAACATTGTGTACAATAAAACTCAGGAGTAGTATACCATATAAACTGATGATGATAATGTAAATTGTTGAAACATTGTATACAATAGAACTAAGGAGTAGTATACTATATAAACTGATGATGATAATGTAAATTGTTGAAACATTGTGTGTAATAAAACTCAGGAGTAGTATACTTTATATACTGATGATAATGTAAATTGTTGAAACATTGTGTGTAATAAAACTCAGGAGTAGTATATCATATAAACTGATGATGATAATGTAAATTGTAGAAACATTGTGTGCTATAAAACTAAGGAGTAGTATATCATATAAACTGATGATGATAATGTAAATTGTTGAAACGTCGTGTATAATAAAACTCAGGAGTAGTATACCATATAAACTGATGATAACAATGTAAATTGTAGAAACATTGTGTGCTATAAAACTCAGGAGTAGTATATCATATAAACTGATGATGATAATGTAAATTGTTGAAACATTGTGTACAATAAAACTAAGGAATAGTATAATATAAAATTGTGTTCCGTTATTTAATGTGATCTCTTAATGTTGCATAAGAATAAATCATATGAACACAATGATAATCTGTTTCATATATAAATTTTTTGCAGATTTTCACAGGATGTGCATATAATGTATCTTGTTTTGAGGGGATTTCAGACTTAAAACTCATTGTTCATAATTGTTTGAAAATAGACGATTCTCCATTTTGCAAATTACTAAACTATTCAATTACTTTTTAAGTGGGGTTATGTGGTAAAATTTATATGAATATTGTTTTTTTAGAGACTTACCCTGGCAACAGATTCAAAATGTTCATGACTTTTCTGTAGAGCTTTGGCACGTTGTAATGTTTTACCAATCGAGGTGTTTTTACGCAGAAATACATCACCATGGTTATCTAACCAGTCGATTACCTGCAAATAGATTCAAATGAGATGAAATGGGTGTTTAATGTCCTTCTTTTGTTTACTAATGTTTTGTACGATGGCAATGCAATGCAATGATCTGGAAAGTTCTTCTTATCTGACCCTTCCACCAACTTAATTCATAAAAGATAGAAATTTCTTTAGAAAGATGAGAATCTCAGACATCTGTTGAATAATCTCTAGGGTACAAGGGCACTTGATCGTTCTTTTCATTTTGGAAACACTGAAAGCTTTGCCTTATTGCAATGATTACCGAGTTAGCCATTCCTTGACAACGACACGCTGATAATTCCGAATGAGCCATTCCTTGACAACGAGATGCTGATAATTCTGAGTGAGCCATTCCGTGACAACTAGACGCTGATAATTCCGAGTGAGCCATTCCGTGACAACGAGACACTGATAATTCCGAGTGAGCCATTCCGTGAAAACTAGACGCTGATAATTCCGAGTTAGCCCTTCCTTGACAACTAGACGCTGATAATTCCGAGTGAGCCATTCCTTGACAACGAGGCGCAGATAATTCGGAGTGAGAACGTCCGTGACAATGAGATGCTGATAATTCCGAGTTAGCCATTCCGTGACAACGAGATGCTGATAATTTCGAGTGAGCCCTTCCTTGACAACTAGACGCTGATAATTCCGAGTGAGCCCTTCCTTGACAACGAGACACTGATAATTCTGAGTGAGCCATTCCGGAACAACGAGACGCTGATAATTCCGAGTGAGCCCTTCCTTGACAACGAGACACTGATAATTCCGAGTGAGCCATTCCGTGACAATGAGACGCTGATAATTCCGAGTGAGCCCTTCCTTGACAACTAGACGCTGATAATTCCGAGTGAGCCCTTCCTTGACAACGAGACACTGATAATTCCGAGTGAGCCCTTCCTTGACAACGAGACACTGATAATTCCGAGTGAGCCATTCCGTGACAACGAGATGCTGATAATTCCGAGTGAGCCATTCCTTGACAACGAGATGCTGATAATTCTGAGTGAGAACATCCGTGACAATGGGATACTGATAATTCTGAGTCAGTCCTTTCTGTGAAAATGAGAAAATTGAGAGTAATTTGACTCACCTGTTTGACATCTTGTTGAAACAGACGCAATCCCAATCTCTGATGTAATTTCACTTTCTTGGCATGCCACACTTGTTCTAGATGTCTCTGATGAGCCAAAACCTACAGATCATCAAATAACAAAAAATAAATACTTAAATCCATATTTTAACATTATCATTCACATTTTATTTCCAATTCATACCTCTAATTATAATTTCCCAATTAGAAGAATGTAGAACTGAAATTTATTTAAATTCCTTTCCAAGTATCACAAAATTTTTATAGTTTCTTAATGGCACATGCTGTCCAAGTATTCAACTATGATGTGGTTCAAGAATTCCAAATTTCCAAATTCCATTGGATTGATGATGAATTCTTAATCATCAGATTCAAAAACATATTCAGAATTTCCAAACCAAACCAATGAAAATAACTGCTAAACATTTCAGAAACACATAGACCATGACATGATGACAATTAACACTGATTGAAACTACAGCAAGAAAAAATTTACCACATTCAGGATTTCCCTAACAAGCGATCGTACATTACAGCTAAAATTTTCCTAACAAGCGATCGTACGTTACAGCTAAAATTTCCAGAAACACAAGGATGTCTATTATAGTGACCTTGGCACAAGTTTATAATTTCTACAATGAAGGAATGAACAATGATGTTTTTACTTTTTCCTTTTAGAAATGATCTAAGCACCAAAACTTACAATGTTTTCAATTGATGTTATGATATTAAAGAAACACTGAATTCTAGTTTATAATCCAGGACGGAGATCCATTGTTTTATCAGTCATTGTTTAATATCAATTTAAAATCCACAATCCATAACAGTATTATTAACAGCACTGATTCTTAATCCACTGTTTATTTTTTTCAAAAACTTATCTACATTCTTAAAGCAAGTTCTTATAGACAAATGTATATATTCTTAGTTTATAACCTGTTTTTAAAAAAAATTCTGTATCTCAAACTGTTTTCTAAAAAATTTGTTATGCACTATGATACCAGTAAAACTTGTGAACAAAACAAATACCACATAAATCCACAACAAGTGCCTTCGATAGTAGAATATAAATTTAAACCAATAATCCAACAGTGTAATATTTGAAAGACACTGTGTTAAAAGTTGAACAGAATAGGACAGAAAGGAAATAAATAATTGAAATAAGTGGCTGAATATTAACTGTACTAAAGTTATTTTACACTCCACTACACAAATCATCCAGTCTCTTTCCTTTCTACAGGAACTATCAACTTATTCCTAACTTTTTTTCAATTCATTAAAACATCAATTTATTCCCAACATTTGTTTGGTTTAGAAGAAAATAAGTTTTTAAGAAATATAAGAAAATGCCAGGAAAAAACTAAGTTTTTAAGAAATGTTTAAGAACTGTTAAAATTCAGTTAAGATTGTTATCAGAGTTCCCACTGTGTATTCAACAGAAAATTCTACAATTACTGTGTAAAATTTAGACTCTAAACTGTACTTGTCTACTATACTGTTACCCTCAACATTGTGTCACTATTAACCTCTATCTATATTACATTATATCATTGGTTTTCAACCTGTTTTTGTATGTGTCCCCAAATTGAATCAGCATGAAAATGAAGTCCCCAAATATCGAAAGTGTATATCTATGATTGGATACCAGGCACGTTCTCGTATAGTTTGATAGTAATAATTCTCTGAGTACTTCTAGACAATGTTAATTTAGACTGTGTATAGTCCAGTCATCTTATGAGATGATGTATGTACTGTAGTTGGAAAGTTTTTATTTTTCACAGCATGTGACTGGCTGTGACACATCAAATGTCCCCACCTTGAGACATGTCCTTGTTGTTGAAAACCTACGCTTTATATCAAATATCAAGGAGCCAAGTATCATATCATCAATGTTTAAACCACCTTATCAATAATCATATGGGAATGTGAATCACTTTATCCAAATAGCTTCATATGGGATGGACAAGATTATCCTCCTGGGGCCTTATTTTCCAAAACTTGAACAAAGAAATCCAGATTTCAAGAAATACAGTTATCTGATTGGATAATAAAATCAATTTTAGTGATTGACCAATCAAATGATTTCGAGAATAGGGTCCCAGGTCATTCTTCTCAATTGACTTTAAAAGATCTGAGCTCAACTGAAATTAGAATTCTAGGAAAAAATTCTCTATAAGGATGTCAAACTTCAACAGGGTTTGGCAACTAGGTGTCCATTTCAGTGAGTTCCCACAGTTAATATTTTCTATTTGGTATATTTATTACCAATGTACATCTTAAGAGGGATTCAAACCTGTAGCACCTAATTACCTATCTGTGTAATAGATATAGAAATAGATTCAAACCCACAGCACCAAATTACCTATCAGTATATAGTGTAATAGATATAGAAATAGAGTCAGTAGATTCAAACCTACAGCACCAAATTACCTAGCAGTGTATGGTGTAATAGATATAGAAATAGAGTCAGTGATTTGAGAGAAGCTGGTATTCTCAGCTGTCAACTAATATCATCAATAATTCACCAGTATTAACACAGATACAGAAATCTGATAAAAGCTTTTTACCTTATATTCTGTTGTAACAGTAAATTATCCAGTTTTGAGGCAAAAACAGACTTTTTGATATCATTTCTTGATTGAATATTAGAAAATATTTAGTTTCGCTTATAAACTGTGATTAATTTCTTTAGGGTAATTTTTCAGAAATGACAGAGCAAAATGATTTATTATGATTTCACTCTTGCCAAAAAAAATTCTATGTTATTCGAGAAGTTGACCATTTCCCTGTTATTATTTGATTATATTTGACAGACATATTCAATAAAGAACAAAACCATCTACTTTTTGACAATTGATTTTAACAAATTCCTTGCTTTTGATTTTGAGAATTGTCTATACTAAAGTATTCAAATTACTCAATAATTCATTCAGAGTTTGTGAATATCCAGGACCACCTTTTCCAATGTCATTACGCTCTATACATCATATTCTTCTATACTAATGACAAGGACAGTAACTTGTTATAAAACCTGTGACATCAATAACAATAAAATCTAATCATTGTTAAACCAGTAGTTGTATTGATATATCATCAATATTTAATTTATATTACTGTGACTTGAGTTTTATATAATACTGTTAGCTTGTAATAGTCTTTAACATTTCACCTCATTTTCTTCATGAGGCCAATAACATTGATAAAATACTTTTTGCATACTACTTCTTGTCCAGTTTCTTATGTTCTTTACATAATTTCTTCTGCATTTTTTGCCCATTAGGATTTTTGGTCACAAGTTATCACAAATGATGTCATATAAAACTACATATGGTTCTGACATGGAAATAACACGAACGAACGTAGTTCACAGCCATTTTGAATCTTCTCTTCCACAAATGTCATAATATTTCAACAAATGTAATTTGAAGTCTTTGTTGAAATATTCTCTCTTTTTCAAAATTTGACTTATGAAGTAGAGGTAGATTCAAAATGACTGTGAACTACGTTCGTGTGTGATATGTCCATGTAAGAACCATAGTTTTGTATGGATTGATGTAATACTGGCTTCCATATAAGTCAATTTTTCTAGATTCCAATAAATCAAAGACCCAAGGATTCTGTATAAATTTTTGATGTCAAAAATGCAACAAAAACTCGATTCATTGATCCTATGTAACAGTTCTAAAGTAAGAAATAGCCAGCATGGATAGAAACATCTTGAAGCGAGGCATCAACTGTGAAAAAACTGGCAAGAAATCACTTAAACTTAAAATGAAATGATTTTGGCATTCTCATCATCTGATTGGTCAATTCAAATTAAGTTCATCAACAAATTAACCAATCATATCACAGCATATCCTTAAATTTAGATTTCATGAGTCAATATTCTGAGAATAAGTATAAATAAAGTCCTACCTCATGAACAACGTCTAAAACATGTCCGGCTGCTTCAGAATAATCAGCTTTCGCCGTCAGTGAATTACTAGATCCACAACTCACAGGGGTCTGTAGTGTATCTAGTAACGCCTTGCCATCACTGCATACCTACATAAGATATAAACAGATATAACATAGATATACATAGATCACAGGGGTCTGTAGTGTATCTAGTAACGCCTTGCCATCACTGCATACCTACAGTGTAAGATATAAACAGATATAACATAGATATACATAGATCACAGGGGTCTGTAGTGTATCTAGTAACGCCTTGCCATCACTGCATACCTACAGTATGAGATATATACAGATATAACATAGATATACATAGATCACAGGGGTTTGTAGTGTATCTAGTAATGCTTTGCCATCACAGTATACCTATAGTACAAGATATTAACATATTATTACATAGATATACATAGATCACAGGGGTCTGTAGTGTATCTAGTAACGCCTTGCCATCACTGCATACCTACATAAGATATAAACAGATATAACATAGATATACATAGATCACAGGGGTCTGTAGTGTATCTAGTAACGCCTTGCCATCACTACATACCTATAGTATAAGATATAAACAGATATAACATAGATATACATAGATCACAGGGGTCTGTAGTGTATCTAGAAGTGCACTGCACACATAAATTATAGAATGAACATGCACAAGACCTTAAAATTTGTAGATTACGCCTTTACATTTAATTATTGAACAGGGAACCCCTTTCTTCTCTTGTTTCTGGTATGTCACATTGCTTATTACATGTAACCACTGACTACCCCCTGAACCAGCTCTAAGAAAAGTTAGCGTACCTCTGCGTAAGCCTGACTAATGGTTTCTATAAGGTTTTGATGTTGTTGTAAAGCCTCTTCCAGCTCTTCAATTAAAGAAGGTATTTTTATATTCTCACACATATTCTGCCACATCAAAAACTGGGCTAAATACTGAAATTAAGGACATAATAATCTAATGTATTACATAAAAAAATTTTTTTTACAAGCAATACAATTTTGTTTATCAAAAATCTCATCAAAAGTACGGCAAAATTGGGAGTAACAGTAGTATACTAGTGGACTCCTCTAAAGAAAAATGCAATCAGGTGTTTAGAAAAGAGTAACCATGGTCTGCTTCGCGAGCCACATGGTCCGCCATTACATTATACCTAATATGGTCTGAGGAAAAATAATATGCCTTCTTACATGCCTACTAAACATGTGACAAACAGAATAGTTTTTAACAAATTTCAGCCAAGAGAAACTGCTATTGAAGGTTATATATTGTTTTAGAATGGAAAGAGCTTGTAGAGCCATGATAGAGTTACATCCCTTTATTCAAGAGAAAATAAATACAACCTTCTTATTTTTAATAGTGGTTCATTCTGGTGACACTCGATTGGAGAATACTGGACGGGTTTCGTCTGTTTCAATTCTGCCCCCAATTGCACGGAATTAAAGCAAAATATGGCACATTCAAATTTTTCCCATCCTTCTTCACAATTTTTGAATCCTGTCTGCATTTACTAATTTTACGGCACATGTGGAGCGCATTCTGTTCCAATTGTTAATGAACGTTCTGTTGATTTCATGAATCCCCAACGTGCAGAACTCAACAATCGAGTGCTCCATCATTAGATGGAACGTTAATAACCCATCCCAAACAAAAGTATATTCCATTATAAAATACTGATAACCTACCTGTTCAGCTTTCTTGTGAAACATAACGGACATTTTAAGTACGGTGCTCCTGTCATCCAGCGCGGCAGCCAGGCTCTTCCATTCTCGTTCCAGTTTACTGGCCTGCATCCTGATAGTATTAGAGGCGTAATGCCCAGAGTCACACAGTCTTTGAGCCATGCCTAATATTCTCGTGATGTTTACATACACATTCTATAAAATATCACAGAAAAATATATGATAGAATCAAAAGATTTATTTTGATTCACAATTGATGAATGGGTATCAGCTAGTCTTGAAAATACCATTAGTAATGGTTTTACATAGATAGTATTTTACCAGCTAAACATTAGCCAAACCTATTGGCAATAATTTGAAATTAGGTTCTCAAGGATTCTGTCAACCAGCTAGTCTTGGGCCAAAACCCTTAGTAATGATTTTACAAGGATAACAAATTAGGTTCTCTATAATTCTGTCTACCAGCTAGTCTTAGGCCAAAACCCTTAGTAATGATTTAACAAGGATAACAAATTAGGTTCTCTATAATTCTGTCTACCAGCTAGTTTTATGCCAAACCCCTTAATAATGATTTTACAAGGATAACAACTTAGGATCCTGTCTACCAGCTGGTCCTTGACCAAACCTCTTGGTGTTGATTTTACAAGGATAACAACTTAAGGATCATGTCTACCAGCTGGTCCTTGACCAAACCTCTTGGTATTGATTTTACAAGGATAACAACTTAAGGATCCTGTCTAACAGCTGGTCCTTGACCAAACCTCTTGGTATTGATTTTACAAGGATAACAACTTAAGGATCCTGTCTACCAGCTGGTCCTTGACCAAACCTTTTGGACAAGGATAACAACTTAGGTATTCTAGAATCAATCTACCTTTACTTTAACATATTCCATGAATATATTTGAAATTATTTACCAGCTGATCCTTTGCCAAACTTCTCTTTCGTGATTTTGCAAGGAAAAAACATTGGTTCCTTAAGAACCTGTTTACCAAATCCTGACAATGGCAACAGTAATTTAGGTTTTCAAGAAAGTGGTCTACCATTTGGTCTATGGGTCTATGTTTTGAAAGAGCCCTCACTGTGAATGAATAAATATACTCACAACAGCACTGGTGGCGAACTGACTGTGTTCTGTATCCAGCTCCACAGCAAACTGATGTGATGTTCCTATTTCAGTATAATTCACCAAGAACAGATCGCGATTATGCATTATCCATTCAAACATCTGCAATAAATTACATACTTCAAATTTCATTTGTTAAAAATGACAAAACCAACAAAATGAAGTTTTACTTCCAATTCAGAGAGATTGAGCAACACTCGGAATTCATGTTCAGCTTTCAGACAACTTGGCTCATATTTTAAGAAATTAAACAAGTGGTTGCCTAGCAACATACGCCCACTTCCCCGATACATTTTCAGTATATCAAGGGCGGTCACTAATTTACATCAAATTGTACCAAAAATCTAATCTGTTCAAGATTTGCCAACAAATTTTGATACCATTTTTACTAAGTCAAGGGCAATAACTCAAATTCCGTTGATTGAAAAATCGTCAAATTATAATGTGGGTGTATAAAAAATGTAAATATATGTGGTCAATTCTGTGAGTAACAGACTGACATTTCAAAGATATTTTAAAAACAATTTGTACCACTTTTGAAATTCAGGGGCCTTATTCTTGAAAACTTAACTTGAGATGATTTTTGGCATTTAAGCCATCTGATTGGTCAATCACTACAATTGATTTTAAATTTAGTTTTATTATCCAATCAGATTACTGTATTTCTTAAAATCTGGATTTTATTTAAATTAAGTTTTTGAGAATAGGGCCCCTGCACAATACACTTCCTATTTACAGTGAATAAAACAATACCCTTGATTTCTTCCTTTCTGAATAATTTTCTGAATTAGTCAAAACAGAAATGATAAAACTTCAGTAGGAAATGATGAAAAAAAAAACTTTTATCCAAAATTGGCATCAGCGTTCCTGCCGATTAAAGCCGGTGTACGGTGCGGAATAATCGATACAGTTGAAAATAGAAGAAGTGAACACACGAGGTACAGGTTCGGACATGATGCAGACGCGATTTGCTTCTACTATTTTCTACTGTATCGATAATCCTGCACCATACCGGACCTCATCTATTCCCACCTTAATTTGGTCAAAATCAAATTTCAATATTTACCTTTTCTACATCTTGTTCAAATATTCGGAGTTGAAGACATTGTTCTAATCTCATCTTCTTGACAGTCCACAACTGATTCAGGTGTTGTTTCGTGGAATGCAAATTTTCTAGGAGCTGAGAGATCTGAGGGACTGCCGATTGAAAATCAGCGTTTCCAGAAATAGTGTAACGCTGTCCTCCTTGACCATTGTCTTCTCCTGTGATACGCATCAAGATATGCTGACCCTCTCCACCGAGTGTCTCGACGGGTGCCATCGTGACACGTTTTTTCAATCTATTATGCTCTTCCAGGACAAGTTGGGCACCGTTTAAATCATCCGGTAATTCAGGGTTGGTGAGAATCTCCCCTAGTTCGTCAAGTTTATCCAATAGATCTAGAGCCTGCCATATAAAATCTTCTAACATCTGAAATAAAATGAATATGAATGAAAATATAACAATACCAGATTCTAGAATGAAAATCTTTTTTAATAAAAGTAGCAAGTAGCAAGAATTGTAAAATATACAACAGGTTAAAACCTTAAAACACAAAAATATTCATAGACAAACTTTAGAAGTTGAAAAAAATGAAAGAGAAAAGAGTATCCAATAGATAAGATAAACTCTAGTCAAATAGAATTATTCAAGTCCAAATCATTTCACAAAAAATTATATAACATCAAAAACAAAACAAAAATCTTGTTTACCTTTGAATTCAAGAGAGACATATTGATCTTTACTCTAAATTAAGCTTCAATAAACGCAAGTAATTAAATTTTCACACACATACACAAAGAAACAAGTTCAACAACCAACATTAAAACAAATGGCGGGAAATTTAAAATATAATCAATTCATGTTTAGACTACTATTTATATCCTCAGGCTTCTGGGTGTTTTTATAATTATATTAATCAGATAATTCATACACAAATATTACTTATCTCTTTTTTAAGTGCACTTAAGACCAATCTTTTCTATATTTTGTATCTTGAATTTTTGAAATTTGTAGGTTTTACTTTATCATAGCAAGGCAAGCTCACCCTTGTAGAACACCTGATGCCATTCTACCACTGAATATGTCAAAACATACATGTGTAATCTAGCGATGTTGTCAGGTTTCTACCACTTTTACATGTTGTCCACCTCTCTACCAATGCGATACCAAATTCTACTGATTTTTTTTTTTCCTGACCTACCGTTTTCAATGTCCAAATTCTCTACCAAAAATCAACAAAATATCTATCATTAATTGTATTTTGATTGCCGGTAACACGCGTTAATCTCATCACGTAATAATTTTATCATTGCCTGATTAATTCATCCCCTTATGTCATCATAATGTTTGTTTGGTATATTTATTACTCTTGCTCTTGTGTCTGCGAGTCTAATTACAAAAGGTGTATTCCAAAAAGCATCAGACTAGTTTATATACTGAATAGTTCGCGTCACAATAATCCAGCATTGGAGAGCGAAGAGATTTGATTGGCTGGTGAGGTCATCAAACAGATGAACATTCAAGAGACCAGTCTTTAGACCCTAACTGAAGTGACTATATCAAAAATAAAAGCTAATAAGAAACGGAACAAAAGTTTGGTCTTATTTCAATTCATAGTGTCCAATCCACACTACCATTCTACATACTTCCTCAAGGCCGTGGAAATACAAGTGAGGTATTCATAGAAAAATATTTCCCAATCAAAATGTGCCCTGAAATCTTTCTAGGAAATCTCAGCTAATCAAATCAAATGATTGGTTATAGACGTTATAAGCAAAGTGACATTAAATTGAGATATAAAATTTTCATTAAAGAATTGAAGCTGAAAAAAAAATAAACGTACTGTACTGTTTTCATGACCTTCGAACCCCTTTGTCATTTCTGTTGTACCTTAACGGACTTTATTTAATACAGGTTAATAAGACAATGTCAAAACCCGTATTCGGGATATGATGTTTGCAATAAGACTGTGTGTCTACCCTTATCTGAAAAGTGATTATGTACGTCTTTATTATAGCTTAGACTATACAACATTTGACAAGACAAGATCAGTGTCGACCTTCTACATTGCTGTCCATACAAACAAACTACCGCCTTACTCCCGCATTTCCATGTCAATTAAGATTCAACTACACACAATGACATTATCTTCATTTTAAATACAAAATACCATACTCACCAATCTTAGTTGTATCCACTGTTCATGATCATATTCCAGAGTTCCGTCAAACTCTCGTGTCAGGTGACTGGGTTCTACAGCTTTATTTAAACTATCTACTGATATCATACTCGTCTGAATATAGAAAAAAAGTGAAGTTTTAAACCCTATTGTATTGTTCTATAGTAATTAAGTAAGTAAAACAACGCTTTCATCATGCCCTTGTTGACCTGTCCGAGCTATTGAAATGAAATGGAGTCATATATCCTTCTGTTCAGGAGCCTATTAGTTTAATGACTTGAAGGCTTTATGTTGTGTATTGGGCTTATGAAAAGCAGCTTTGGTGCTGTTTTCTTTTTTTAAACCTACTGGTAAAATTGTTCTAAAGGGACAGGTAGACCAATCATACTTCAGTCTCAGAAACTGGCTAAGACAATCAGTAATAGTGTTCTCAGCTCACCATCCAAATCTGAGCCTTCAAATCCATGTGTGTCCAGAATTATCTGCATTTGAATGTTAAAATGACGACTCCTTTAAATTATGTGATGTTCGTACATTTCGAGTACTTCTGAAGACTAAAATCAACCCCTCAAAATGACGCATCTGCCCCTTTAAACTTTATCCATAATGTACGAATGAAATTGTGTTTTATAAATTAAATTACCTCAAAATTATATTTAGCACTTCCTAAACTGGTTCTTTGTTTTTCCCAGAATTTTTCAGGTTTTATGATGTAGGCTATGTTGATGTTACCAGGGAAACATTCCTAAAAATAACAAATTTGTTTTAAAAGGGTATTTTATAAGTTTTAATATCATTTTTAGTCATGTGAAACTGCTTAATCACATTTGTTAAGACAAAACTTGTAGTTGTCAAATGTCTAAATATCTCAGCAGCCATTAGTAAAGTGGCTATCTCTATTGGAAGCAAATTGTCAATTATCATGACAGGCCATATAACTTGGACAAAATATTGGCTGCCAACTTACTGACAGCTATGTTGGACCATGTTGTACCACTAACACATTAAAGCAAAAAGCACAAAAGAGAACCTTATTTTCAAAAAGGTGAAATAACCAAATTGGAAAATAAAATTAAAAGAATCTCTACATCCTGTTACCTGTAAAGCCTTTAAGATGGGTTTGACTATTTGCCAAGTTGAGCCTCTCATATCTAATATAATAGTAAATCCTCTGTCTCGTACTTCATCACTGAAAAATATTCCGTAAACAATTTTTACAAATAATCATGGAATATGTTAAAGCTCGTAAATCCGATGTGATAAAAACCTCTTATTCTTAGCTTGATTGTAAATAACCCAAAAACCACCAATTAAATAACACGTATATAAACCATCAGATTTAAAACCTCGTAAAATATTATATTTTAAGAGGTTCAATGTTCCTGTTTCTGTGGATAAAAACGAAAAAACCTCGTATACTGTATTATTATACGAGTTATTGGTTGAATATGTCGGAGTACTCAAATCGTTATACGAGGTTTAAATTTTCAAAGAATGAAAACCATGTATAGTGCTAAAAAAAAATAATGATCAAATAGTTTTTTCGCTTTATTTCGCGTCATATATCGTTATACTAGGTTGCAAGCGGTCACCAACGATATGTTAAAGTAAGGTCGAAGGTAGGAGCATATTAGTAGTAGGAATACCTCTACTCATTACATAAAATTCACAGCTTCAACCTACATTTTATCAAAAATCTCTTCCAAATCAGAACTCATTCCTATCAGTAATTCCCAATCAAAGAACAAGGACCATAACTCTACATACTTTTTTATTTTCCCCAAGGGTTGATACTAGGATAATTGGAAACAATCTGATTGTGTCTTTGTAAGCAAATATTGATAGGAATTGATTTCACGTGGGTGTATAAAACTGATATCTGTTCTGATATTATTAATAGAAAATTGAATATTTTTCTGGGCAAATTCTCACCTGGGAACGCTTGCTAAGTAGGTCATTAATCTACGTAAATCCTCGTATTTCAAACGTTCAGGATGAGTGTGATTAGGAAACGTCATAATTGGTCCACCTCTTTTATCACGACCACCTGAAAACAAATTTCAAAATAAAATTACTCGTGGATTTTTTTCTAGCATAAATCATGACAATTTTTGATGTTAAAAGGTAAAAATTCTACAGAATATGATTTAAAGAAGAATCACCTCAAATCATGAATGGCAAGTATAGTAAACTTCAGAAAAGGTAAAAATTCTACAAAATATGGAACTAACAATCACATCAAAACAAGGAAGGCAAGTATAGTAAACTTCAAAAACACACATAACAAATCAACCAAAGTGTTACAATCAGATTAAAAATTGAGGATAAGATATGAATTTAAGACAGTTTAAAGACTGTTGAAGACCAACCTGAGAGGTAGGCGATCCTTTCCCGTAACACGGGAACAATATCTGCTGCTTTTAACCCATCATTTCTTCTCCCGCCTGAAAATACAAAGAATTTCAAATATATATGACATGAATTTTAACACGTCCAAAAATACTGTGACAGGTAAAATAGGAGGACTTCACTGACTTGACCATAGGGCGACTTGACCATAAATTTCATTTTATCATCCAGAGCTTTATCAGCCACTGTTGCGAGTTAACAAAATGTCATAATGGCTTTATAAAGTATCTATACAGGTTGTGTTGGGAGTTTGACAGTTACAACAAGAAAGTTCTGTGATTTCTCCAGTTGAAGTCTTGATATTAGGTACAGTGATAATTTCAAGCACAATGTTCAGAAAATAGAGTTGAATTCAAATGATTGAAATCAGTAGTAATCACTGGTTATCAGTTGTAATCACTAGTAACCAATTGTAATCACTAGTAACCAATTGTAATCACTGACAATCACTAGTAAGCAGCTGTAATCACTAGCAATCAACTGTTATCACTGGTTATCAGTTGTAATCACTAGAAATCAACTGTTATCACTAGTAAACAGCTGTAATCATTAAAAATCAGTTGTAATCACTAGTAATCGGTTGTTATCACTAGGAATCAGTTGTTATTAATAGTAATCAGTTGTTATTAATAGTAATCAGTTGTTATCACTAGGAATCAGTTGTTATCACTAGTAATCAGTTGTTATCACTAGTAATCAGTTATCATCACTTGGAATTGGTTGTTATCACTAGGGATTGGTTGTTATCACTAGTAATCGGTTGTTATCACTAGGAATCAGTTGTAATCACTAGTAATCGGTTCTTATCACTAGGAATCAGTTGTAATCACTAGTAATCGGTTGTTATCACTAGGAATCAGTTGTTATTAATAGTAATCAGTTGTTATCACTAGGAATCAGTTGTTATTAATAGTAATCAGTTGTTATCACTGTGCAATCCCCGGTAATCAGATGTAATCACTAGGAATCAGTCATAATCACTGGTATTCAATTGTAATCACTTGTTATCATTTGTAATCACAAATAATCATTTGTTATCAGATGTAATAGCTAGTAATCAGTTGTTATCACTAGTAAGCAATTGTAATCAATTGTAATCACAAAAAATCAGTTGAAATCACTAATAATCAATAATAATCAGTAATGAGTAATCAGTTATTTTCAATAGTAATCAATTATAATCACTAGTAATCAATTATCAGTTATAATCACTAGTAATCAGATGTTAACACTGGCTATCAGTTATATTCACTAGAAATCGGTTATCACTAGTAATCAGCTGTTATCAATCGTAATCAGTTATAATCACTAGTAATCAGCTGTTAGCACTAGGAATCAGTTGTAATTGCTAGTAATCAGTTGTAGTCACTAGTAATCAGTTATAATCACTAGTAATCGGATATTATCACTTGTAATCAGTTTTTATCACTAGTAATCATTTGTTATCACTAGGAATAGGTTGTTATCACCAGGAATCAGTTATAATGAATAGGAATCAGTTATAATGACTAGTAATCAGTTATAATCACTAGTAATCAGTTATAATCACTAGTAAACAGTTATTATCACTAGTAATCAGTTATAATCATTAGTAATCAGTTTTTATCACTATTAATCATTTGTTTTCACTAGGAATCGGTTGTTATCACCAGGAATCAGTTATAATGACTAGGAATCAGTTATAATGACTAGTAATCAGTTATAATCACTAGTAATCAGTTATAATCAATAGTAATCAGTTATAATCACTAGTAAACAGTTATTATCACTAGTAATCAGTTATATTCACTAGTAAACAGTTATTATCACTAGTAATCAGTTATTATCACTAGGAATCAGTTATAATCACTAGTAAACAGTTATTATCACTAGTAATCAGTTATACTCACTAGTAATCAGTTATACTCACTAGTAATCAGTTATAATCACTAGTAATCAGTTATAATCACTAGTAATCAGTTATAATCACTAGTAATCAGTTATAATCACTAGTACTCAGTTACAATCACTAGTAAACAGTCGTTATCACTGGTAATCAGTTATAATCACTAGTAATCAGTTATAATCACTAGTAATCAGTTGTTATCACTAGGAATCAGTTACAATCACTGGTAACCAGTTCTTATCTTACTAATGTTAGAGTTTGATATTTTTGTACTAAATCAGAACGTGTTTCATTGTCAGGTCGACATGGCAGTCCCTACAGATTGGTCGATGTGGTAATAATTTGTAAGGTAAAAACGTCCAAGACTAAATGGACACAAAACAACTTCATTTCTCCAGTTGGCACGATATGTTTTTGACCAATCTCCATGGAATAAAGCTTGTTTGTGTCTGCAGCTACTTTGTTACCATGGATGATATATAAAAGACATTATCACTAATCTTTTAATGATTGTATGGCAAGTGAAAGGGTGTTGTATGGCAAGTGAAAGGGTGTTGTATGGCAAGTGAAAGGGTGTTGTATGGCAAGTGAAAGGGTGTTGTATGGCAAGTGAAAGGGTGTTGTATGGCAAGTGAAAGGGTGTTGTATGGCAAGTGAAAGGGTGTTGTATGGCAAGTGAAAGGGTGTTGTATGGCAAGTGAAAGGGTGTTGTATGGCAAGTGAAAGGGTGTTGTATGGCAAGTGAAAGGGTGTTGTATGGCAAGTGAAAGGGTGACGCAGGGAGTGACAAAGCAGCTTATCGAAATAGAGAAAGATAAAACACAAGTATTTATTGTGAAGTTCACACACCTTTTCCTCCTTCTAAATTCAATTGTTCTACTATTCAGAGAATATTTTGTGTAATATAAAAGGGGTGAGTTATGTAGACAGTTGATATTCCAATCAAACCATACCGATATTATTATGTAATATAGAATTCCCATTAGACCCAGTCATAATATATAACTGATACTTTCTGACACAGAGTAAATATCAAGTCTGATATCTATTAATATACTGGTCTAACCATACAGGTTTTCTGATAGCTTTATAGTGCTTTCACCCTAAAGGTAAGGGCACACAAGCTGTCTTGGTCAGAGATTTTTGTTGCCGATTAAAGTCATGAGTAAAATCTTGTGTGTGCCCGTGCTTCCACAACAAGATTGTCGATAGTCGTGTCCCGACAGGATTTATAATATACCCCTTTAATCCAGACCCATGTTAAAATTAAAAATCAAACACCAGTAACCACTATTTGTCTTATCCACCTTTTTGTTCATTCAAATGAATTGAAACAAAACTCAAAGAAAATAGAGATGGCCTGTGAAAACACTTGAACTTAGAACCACCCTTCCAGAAAACTTAGTGGATTCTTTTGAATGTTTTTGCAATAAAAATATAATGCTGGGAGAACGAGGTGCCTGCTGTTTTAACACTGACTAGTTTAACACTGAATACTGTATCATAACACACAGTATAGTGCTAATAATCAATGATGAAGTCATCATTATAAACAAATGTTATGACAGAAACAGCAGGTAACTGATAAATTCTACACTACTCGAATTATTCCAGTAAACTAGATTCTGAACTACATTTGTACAGCTGAAGATGGCTTGGTTGTTTACCTGCAATGGAATATATGCTCTGAACCATTGCTGAAGAAAAATGGTCCTAATAGAAAAATTTTGTTCTTCTTCTTTTCATTTTCAATGATGGTCTAGGTTGCACATAAGAAAATTGTATTTTGGAATTGCTTTTCATGACATGAAATTTTGCTGCATGGTCTTCATAATATGCCAATTATGTCAAACTGAACATAATGCTTATGAAAAATGAAGTCTTGAAAATTTTCTTGGTACATTTGCAGTCATTCAAATGATATTCAATCAGATAAATGCTCACGGACTAACTACTGGTCACTTATCATACAGTACATATATTCAAGGGGCCTGAGAAGGTTTTGTTACCATGTGACGTTACTAGGGATGGGTAAAATAATCGATATAATCGATTATCATCGCTACTAATTTATAATTTCGATTATCAATCATCGAAATACATAATCCATTAAATATCAAGATAAATGTCTCTTCCATGTAGTTTTCCTTCAGCACATCAATTACCACAATAAACTATAATAACTAATCAAAGCAATAATAATGCTTCTATGACACAAAAATAACCCAAGGAATTAAAAGCTTCAGGTATGATTTATATTTAGTATTTAGAAGATTTTTCCCTTAAAATATTTCGATTATTAATTCGATTATTGATCGGTATTATGACGTCAATAATCAATCACAATTTGGTAATCAATACCCAACCTAGACGTGACATAATGATAACCTTTTATGCTCCATTTCATTAAGTTGGAGTTCAGAGTAGATGGTGTTTTATTCCCTAACTCAGTGTTCAAAGGGTTAACACAATGTTTTACTATAATTCAACTAGTCTCTCAGGTAAACAAGTCAGTAGAGTAACAGAGCCTGAGATGGTTGGTATTTTCAGGTGAAGTATATCAATCAGGCTGTAAGACTGGAATGTTTAGTTGGTAGTCAAGTTGTGATGGACTCAAGTTGCCTGGAGATTGACTGGTCAAATGTTAACAGAAGTATTTAGTTTACTGATGAAAAGTGTTTATATTATGGAGTACTTGTTTCATGACTTAAATCATACAAACCTCTAATTTTCAAATAATTAATACGAACTGGCTATTTGCACCGTCACGATGCGTATTCTCTAATTTTGGTGTTTTTTTTAAAGCGTGAAACCATATTGATTGTCTAGAATGATATTAAGTGACTTCGTTAGTGTTAGGTAGGGATGACCACGTGTTTTTAATGCCAATTTTTGTACCATTGCGGAGCGACTAGCCATGACCTAATTAATAAGCTAATCTATTCATCTTGGACCTAGGCCAGTGCTTTCATTGAGACTCAATTCAATGGTTTACTGTAAATAACAGTATTTATATGAAGTAAGCTTACTTGTTTCATGACAGAATGATATATGAAAAGTAAAGGGATATTATGTCTGATTATGCAAATGAAGACTGCAATGAGGAATGAGGGAAATTTTGCAGAAACGGCAAATGTTTGAATGTTTTGAAGGAAATGAATTA